CGGGAAAGACTCCCGCGCAAGTGCTAGTAGTTGCGAGGAGCGAGTAGTTGGTTATTGAATTCCTAGTTGGTTCACTTGACTACTGCGCTGTTATGTTTAATATTGGGTTTTTTTCAGCTGATATGTTGCTGCATGTCAAACGGTGTGGCTTAGAATGAATATCTTGCGTTGACGAAATTTCGAGAAACTTCAGAAGGTCTACCTTATTTCAGAAGAAGCTATCTCGTCTTCTGAACCATTAATGCATTAAATATTTGTCGAAAACAGTCGGAGCCTCTGCGTCAATATGACATCTTCGTCATTTTAAAGTACCAGCAACCATTTCGAGTTTGCTCCTGTTATGGGGTATTAACTAAGCACTCGCTAAGAGCTCGGCGGCGGTGACCTTGATGTCTGACATGTGATGCAGTACCTATGATTGGCAGTTGTATATATTCAATCAGGAATGGTCGCACGCCGATCTTTCGGCTTACCGAATCAAGTAATATCCATGTTTGCAAAAAATCGTGAAAAATAATTAATTGCCGTCTCTGTGTGGATGTACGTTTGTGTTTCTGATTAAGAATTGTGTTTGTGATCGTTATTGTCTGAATGAACTAACCGCATTCTCTGTCACCCCCTCTCCACTTGTATACACTTTTATGAAAACGTTGCAGAGCTAGGTAACTCATCCAGCCCCCTAAGGCCTTCCAGGAATATGTCCAGCAACACATGGGAACAAATTCTTATATTGTTGAATCCTTTCAGGACAAACAAGCATCAAGAAAGACTCCCTGCTGCTTTCGGCATCCTAAATCACCCAAGTCTCGGAAGTACGGGCCTCTAGGTCGGAGCGAATTAGTCTCAACCAACCATACTTACATTTTGCTCAACCAAAGTCCTTCCATGAGTCATGGATGCAATCATACATAAAAGAGGTAAGGCTCCGCGGCCACAGGTCACCCGTCGGCATATATCATGACTTAGTGGGTAGAAGGGCGTGCGAACTGGCGTTGTTAATAGCTAAAGGTGAACGGCAAAGATGACTTGTTTGGGAATATAGGTACGATAAGGGACCACAAGGGAACCTCTAGCTCAAGGGTTTCTTCTTTAATAACATTCGCATTAGGTAATTAGTCGAGACTCTGCTGGGCTATAAATGCTCTGCTGAGCTGGACCACATGGGGTTACAAAGGTTAAAGGAGCATTATATAGCTTTGGAGGGGAATGGAACTCTCGTGCAGCGATATTTTTGGTTTGAATATCAGTATATTCAATTGTCTACTGCGACCAAGGCGTTCCATATGCCTAAGGCATTGGTAGACAGAAATGCTCACCTATCTGCACCCTGGCAACATTCCCCAGCAACAAGTCGACCCACAAAACATTTCAGAAAAGAGACGCAAGCTTCGGAAATTTACAACATAAGCACAACACAAATCTACAACGGAAATACAGTCTTATTTCCGTATGTCTCGAACATGCAGCCTTGTGCATCGGTGGTTCAAAAGGGTTACTCACAATCACAAGTATGCCACCGATTAATCCTTATGTACGAAAATTCTCAGTTCTCAAGAGAGAAGTTTGACCAGAACACAAAGGTTAGCACTCAAAGCCATCGTCGGACGAATGACACATCGGTTACATAGAAAATGATAATTAACCTGTTGGCTAGACGCTGGTATTTCATAAGGCTCAGGCTGATTTCTAACTATTTGCAACTGTGCATCCATACTTCCACCCAGTCTGCCATGAAATCATTGCTTCGAAAGTGTAATCTGAATGTTGTATTATGTACTCATTGGCGTCAGATAATAGGAAGCAAGACCGAGTATGATATATATGGGTGTATAGATGAATGGGAGAAAATTTGATTAAGGAAAAATATATAAACCAAAAGAAAATGCAAAAGCACTTTATAATGAAATCGATATAAAGTCAAAGAAAAATAATCACTTAAATCAAAAATTGGTTGCGCGTCCACGATTTAACCTCACCTAAGAGACCACACAGGAGGTTAAACTGCGCTGAGCCGGCCGTAAGATAGCTTCACTCTTCTTGAACTTCTGTCGTTTCCCCTTGTGTCTATAAACCTTGAAACATAGGTTTTTCCCCCCAATAACTGAGCCATTGTCTAAAAGAGGTGAGGTTAATCCACTAGACGCTCTAGAATGCGGAAGAGGAGAAGCGAAAGGATTATCACCAAAGGCCCTGGCGTTATAATAGTCTGTGCGGCACCCCCGTACGTCCGATACCAAGGTCGTTGCACTCTCATCCTGCGCGTCTTCCAAAAACGTTTCACTTATCGTGACCTCGGTGTCGGCACTACGCAATGCCTCTGCCTGCAGACGTCTTTTTAGCTCTTCTGTCTGTAACATTTCCTTCGGGGCCCATGGCGATGAGAGTGCAAAAGTATATGGGCTTTTTCTGGCATTAGAATCGGCTACTTTTGCCATAGCTGGGGTCAGTACCGATGCCTTGACTGAATAACAGTTACTCATGCCAGACTCCTGTTCCGCACGCGAATGGCTCTGATAAGGGAAGTCGGAAACAGGATGCTTAAGTGGATGGCTGCCCGAAGCCGTAAGGTCGGCATTAGACTGGTCTGTTGTGTAGTTAGCCTCTGCCGGGCCTGCTTTCAGACTAGATTGGTTTTCTTTTACACTGTTGAGGTCATTGGTGTCCGTAAATGTAAATTCTGATGGGTCAATAGCGTCAACAGTCATGTCGGAAGGGCGTGTGGAAGTGGGTGCAGACTTGGATGTGGAATGGATTGCGGAGGGCTGCTTGGAAGGTCTTGGATCATTAATCTCTATTTGTTTCATCACACGTGGGGGCGGACTGCGAATGATTCTTGCCTTGCTAGGAGCAGTCCGGACGGTGGTAGATTTGGTCAACACCCGCTTGCGCAACAGACCGGTAAAGGCTTTTGGACGTTCTGCTTGTTTAATACAGACGTTTCGGGTTTTGATGCACAGAGTACAGTACTCATATCTATCATATGCTTTACGGTCCTCGCGGGTGGGATCTCGGAAGGCCACTAAGCTGTATCCGGCCATTGGAATAAAGGGGCAAGTTAGCGAACGCGGCAAACTGGGAGCTCGGCCTCTGAAGGCGGCCCACGTGCAAAAGAGAAATCAATATGCGACCACGTGTAGTCAAATTTTTACGAAATGTACAGGGCCGAAAGTAACGTGTTGAAGAGACAAATTCGGAAGAATCAGCGAACCATTTAATAATGTGAACGTTAAGGCTCGTTGTTTCTTAGTTAAGAAAGAGTTTAAGACGTTAGTTTAATTAATCTGGGGCTTGGGATCCCAGATGCGAGTCATGAATCACCACTCTATACAGATTTATAGAACAGAGGCAGATCTCTCCCACTGTCAACAGGGGAAAGGAGGCTGACATTTCCACTGCTGACCTATTTATTATCATCAGCTCATCATATATAACTCCGCTGCATCGCTACCACTGATCACACTTATTGCCTATCTCATGAAGTGTCGCCCGGAATAATGTTATCGATCGAACAAATTGCTCAATTTGTGTTGTACTACTGGTTATCGCGCAGCCTAATCCTCAAGATGTTTCAGTCACGTTTGGTAATAAATTGTTGCATATCTTTCAGTTGTAACGAGTTCCTTGTTATGATATATTTATAAGTTCGTGAAATTTTAATTAATAATACACCGTATGCTACGATTGATTAACGTAGCCTATAGAGTATGCAACCTAATCTAAATCCATGGCAACACTGTATGAGTACTATGCGACCTTCTTCTCAAAGCGTAGAGAAACGTGCAATTTTCCCTTGCCAGAATGCATACAGCATGTAGATAGGAAAACTTGACTCCAACTGTAACGACCAGAAGGGTTCAAAATTAGTCAGCTATCTGAGAATTTTCTAAAACGGATGGCAGCAGTAGTGCTGCTACAGCCTTCTGCTTATGTGTCTGAAGATAAATCCGCGACGGATCTCGAAACGTCAGGTATATAAAAGTATTTTCCCAGCGCTCGTGTTGTTGTCTTCTTCTTCTTCTTCTTCTTCTTCTTCTTCTTCTTCTTCTTCTCACTTTCTATAATATTGATATTGTGGCTTAATCGCAAGATATTACAGTCACTTGTGGGTGCTGAATTTTGAAGGACCATCTTTCCGCACGCCGGTATAAGAATGTGCTCCGTAAAACGGACCACTAAATCAGTATGCATTTTAACTATTAATTTTCAGTGCACTCGCAAATTCCAGGATAACTTAAAGAAACTATGCACAAAATATGCTTTCTATAAGGTAAATTTCAATTTGCGAGCACATTAAAAATTAATAAAAAAATGCATACTGATTGAGTACATTTTTTTGCCGGCGTCCGGAAGATGGTCGTTCAAAAGCCGGCACAGGCAAGTCGGGCACAGATTATCAGTCGATATTTATAAAACAAATATATTACTTACTACAAAATAGTACGCAATTTTATGTCACTCGTTTATGCAAACTGCCAATCAGAAATACATCACTTCACCATCTTTTGTGAAGGTTTTTATCACTTCCCCGCCAGCTGATACCTAGACTTTAAAAACTCCACTTTTTCACACGAGACCAGTTCTAATTACAGTTCTTAATCCCCCAGTAGAAGTCAGGAAGTTAAGTGCATACAGGAATTTCCAAACAATTTGCCGACGACTAAAGTTAGACATAGCCACTTGAACAGTATACTCTCGTAGAGATCATATTGGAGTGGGGGTCACTTGTCAATTCCTGCCATCAGGGACGTTAATTTCCGAGGTACACGCTTTTGAAAAATTCTTCATAGAACACATTCGCTTACTTACGAAAAAGACACAAATAAATACCACTTGTCCATGCTGCCAACCTTGACATTTCTATTCTGTCCAGACCAGGTCTTCATTCGATAAACGCTCCTTCAGACGCTACCGTCAGGTCTGCGACTTAGGAAGGGGAAATTTCAACTGAACGCTCAGATCCACAAGTTAGAACATTATGGTCGTTGCGTCGATGACATCTTCGCGATCGCCGCAACCGAAACCGATTTAGACGCAATCTTACATGCTTTTCATTCTGCTTAAAGCTGGAAAATTTGCTTTTCTGAATCCTTTGCACCCATTTTTCCCCACGCTTTCCGATAGGTCGATGCCGGCCATTATCCGCATAACTTACAAGAAGTATTAAACAAATCATGCGCCGTCATTTACTGGGTGTGAAATAGATGACAGCAGGCTTGCAGTATAAGGGATCAAGTCTGAATTGGAAATATGCTGTCGCATCACTGGTCGTCAGGAAGAGCCTTCATGGTGATGTTGAAGTCTTGGGTAATTACTGGGAATTTTTCGCTATTAGCCCAACGTTTTTGCAGGGGGTATCTCCAGTTCGACATTCACCTGAAATATGAGGAAAGGCACCAGCATTAAAGGAAACGAATTACTGGATTTGAGGAGGTCATTCTCTCCGACTAATAATAGCAAATATATAGTAGCATCATATTGATGTTGTTACTTACCATAGTAACAGCCTAGGTACTAACTAAAATGCCCAGACACGTGTTTCGCCGGTATTCTGCGGCTGCTTGACACAGCTGCGAGGGGTCCGCCTGATGAGACGTGTATATTTTGAGAAGAAGAAGAAGATTTATCGAACATCGGAATAATTATTTTATTGGTCTGAACTTTCGGGCTCCTGCAAGACCAATAAAATAATGATTCCGATGTTCTATAAACCTCCTTCTTAATTAAAGAGCTCTTCCTCAAGCAGATATTCAACATTTACAAATGGATAACATCGGAGTGATGAGTTTTCAATGCTAAAGAGGAAGTGAGAGAAAAGGGAACGTATACC